AAGAGAGAAGTGGGACTTTTAATTTTTTGTGGTTTTAGGACGATCAAAGATAAAATAAATTAGCAAAATCCAGGTTTCGAGCTTGCTATTTTTTTTTTATTATTATTATTTCGAACAAACTTTATGAGACTTTACACAAAGATTCATTACGATACCTCATATATAGATTTAATATTTTTTTCTTTTCTTGTGATTTTTACAGTGGTCAATGGTATAAAACATTGCAATACATCTAATATTGAACTCTGAACTAAATACATTGTCTGCATATATGTAAACAAACATTACAAGGGGTTGTTATTACTAGTGTTTCAATTCAACCCAGTGCATGAAATTGCCTATACCGTGTTGAAGAATAGGTTTTATTTGCCAAGTACCTGTAAGGTAATGTCGTTGTGAATAAATCTTTCTATGGACAAACTGATATTTCTATGTACCATCATATTCCCAGTCTAGCCTGTTCCAATACACCTTTCTTACATAGAAGTATCAATTTGGTGTTGTGTTGTCTATCCCTCTGCAGTACATAAGTTGTAGTTTATGCCCGCCCTCTCTGCCTTGAATGCCATTCTCTCGTGAAATCTTCTGTATTCTGAGGACCTTTTCGAATAAGGTGGATAAGGAGGAGGAAACACAATTCATTCCAAATATTGGGTTTTCTGATTACTGCTGCATGTATTTATTGATTAATTATAACTTCCTTTCCTGATTTTCTGTTCCTTATATTTATCTATTCCAGGCTTTATTGCAAACTCATGACACGATAGCAAAACAATCATTTCGGAAAGCAACCACCAGGAGAAACGCATTATTCATTTCCCCATTAATGTCTTTCACTAATAGCTTCTATATGGACACGCTAGATGGCGATGAAAGACTGCGGACAACCCGATTAGTAGAGTTTCAGAAAAAAGGAGACGAAGCTATGGTAAGCCAGATTGTTATTGAAATTAGGAGTTATATAACAAGATGATGATATTATTTCTTAACACATTACTAATCTCATTATATCGGTTACCATTTATTTTTCTTTATCCTCTTGAAAAAGCAACCAGTTATTACTCATTTATTATTTCATATAAATATGATCTAATTTTAAAAAAAGGGAATATTTGAAAACATTGTACTTAATTATAATCACAACAAAATTAATTTTATAAATGATCATTATTTAATTTTAATTCACAGGGAATCACTCTGAGAGTGGACGAGAATAATCGTTGTATGGTGGCGCGAATTATGCACGGTGGTATGGTACACAGACAAGGTGAGAACCTATTTACTACTATAGCTCTATCTACGACATTATTATTTAATTGTTTTAGCGAATTATACATAGGTTCTCACCTTGTCTGTGAACCATACCACCGTTAATAATGTCGTAGATAGAGCTATAGTAGTAATTTAATTGTTTTGTTATTATTATTTTGCTGTTTGTAACATGTCTTGTTAAAAAATCAGATGTTTGAAGATACAACTTATCTTTACCGCTTTCAGACAAAGTCATAAATGCATGTATTGATAAAATGAAACGAATATTTTAATTAGAATATATATATATATATATCATCTTGATTGACAAAATACACTTTATGTATGTCCTCCGGTGGGACAGCGGTAATCCTATGGGACTTACAAAGCTAAAATCCGGGGTTCGATTCCCCCCGAGGTGGACACAGCAGATAGCTCAATGTAGCTTTGTTCTAAAACAACCATTAAATATTACTGCATTTATCATATGGTAGCAAATTAAAATACTTTTAATAAGGATTTTTGTATCGTCATATTACCAATGATATTTCGTATTATTCTATGTTTAGCTCTGTTGAATTAGCCAGTTAACCAGTGACAGAAACACAAAATAAATTCTCTGCTTACATTAAAAACATTGATATAATTGACAGATTTTGCTGATAGAAGAATGTTAAAGGGATACTACTAGAGGGATTGACTATATCCAATGTTGAAGAATATTATTTTTATTTATTTATTTTGAGTAGTTGATATTGCTGGTTTTTGTAAGACTATGTGGAAACGTTTCTGCATAAAATGATCGTACACCCAAGTCCTCCGGGCTTTGGATATGGTTACGAAACTCAAAACCTGAACACATGTAAGACAGCAGTAATATTCTTAAAACACAGCCCTGTAATAATATACATGTGGAGCTTCCGCTCTATCGACTTTCTGTTAATTTCAAAAAATGCTTTGTTCTATTGTTTTTACACCGTGAAGAGAATCGTTGCTTTCTACGTGAGATTTACGCAAGAAATTAACGAGGTTCGGTTTATTTTTCTCCTTTTTTTTTTAGCACAGGCATTAAATGCCCGATATCTTAATTAAAATGTTATCCCCACGGACCACCACTCTGCTTAACTAAAAAAAATAACATTTTAAGAAGGATGTACTTGAAACTTGGTTGAATGGACGACAACTGCCTGTTGTAGAAACACAAATGTGGAGGACGACGTTGCGAAAGTCTTTTGTCGTCAGAAGACAAAAGGTGGAAGACCTTCGAAACGTCGTCCTCTACACTCGTGTTTCTACAACAGGCAGTTGCCGTCCATTCAACAAAGTTTCATCATGAATACTTTGTTTAAACAATCTATCAAAGAAGGATGCACTTGTTAGCAAGCAGATCCCTCGTGACATCATCAGAGATGAACCATTGGCTAAATTTAATAAAGTTCACGTGACATTACCGAAAGATGATGAACCAATAGTTAAATGTTATAAAGTTCACGTGACGTTACCGAGAGATGAACCAATAGCTAAATGTTATAAAGTTCACTTGCCATTACCTAGAGACGAACTGGCGTCTGAATGCTGTATGAGCGATGCAACACGACATAAACCAAATCTTAAAAGTACTGATATAAGTGTAGCAGTCAGTTTTCAAGGGGTCCGTAGCATTCCACGGACCTTGATGGAATACTTTTAGTGACTTTTCCTTTAAGATAAGTTTCTGTGAGCCTAATGATTGATTTAATTTAGGCACGTTTATAAAATTAAACATTTTATTTCATTAGCAAAACAAATACCTTGAGGTACACACAAGACACTAGAAACTCAACTACTGTATAGGTTGTCAGCCATCTTGTTTCATTACGGGTAAACAACCTTCACTTAATTTATTGATTTGTGATTTTAACAAGAAGCAAATATGTTTCATTGCAATTCAGAATAACGCCTACACAAAAACAAATATGTAAGGTATAACCTTGAGCTCAGATGCATTGACTTTCTGTTAAAATCAAGAATAAGATTGTTCTTTGTCCTAATTATATAGAACTTTTGATAAAAAGTAAAATAATTATATAGAACACAACTTAAATAATTTGATAAGTAACTGAGGAATCAATGAAGACAGACCTGTATAACAAACCGACTAGAAATAAGCAGTCTCATAAATCAATACACTACAAAAATACATCTCGTAACGACTAAAAGGTAGAGCCATTAACTTTACTTAAATGCTTTAAGAAAAAAAAGGTGTCGCTGGGAATTTTTGGAAATGTCTACTGTACTAATAAACAGTTTGTTTTGTTTTTTTGAATTTCGCGCAAAGCTACAAGAGG